AGTACGTTCAGTTCACGTTCACCCAAAATATGAACGAGTTCATGAACTTACGTTCAATGAACGCGTTCAGGCACAACACTGGTTAAGGGTTTTGCTCAGGAACCCAGAGTGGAGGCTGTGGGGAACGAACAGGGTACTTGCAGCCTTCTCAGAGCACAAGCGATCTGCTCTAACCACTAGGCCAACATTCCCTCACTAGTATGTTATCTTTGTTGTTGGACGTCAGAGTTTCTGAACTCCCTGTCAAAAATCCAACAACAGCATATATGGTAAGGTTATTGCCTATTGAGCAACGGTGGGTATGACTGTGCATCTAAAATGTTGAAAAGGTTACCTATATTAAGTATTTATCAGCTCTTACAAGTCTATATCTATAAAACAATGGCACACTAGCAATAATCTATTTACTTGTGAACATGTTGCTACAAGACTTAGACTTAGACAACTTTTATTGTCATTTTGTATACACCAAGTGCATACAAAATGAAATTTCGTTTTGTACCGCTTTGATGACATTTCCTGTTAGAAATCCAGTTTATGTGGGTTGGTTGTGTGTTTTTCTCTCTCCACCACCAGGTGGTGCCCTGTCCTTGTTGGACCATTACTGGAGGAGTATTTGAGCAGTAGGCTGTCACTACCTCGAGGCGAGAGTGTTTGCCAGATTTGGGTACTCTAGCCAAGCTGAGATTAGCTGAGTCTAACCTGAGCCTTGTTTCCCTGAGTCTTGTGTTGTTTTTGTCTTTGCTCTTCGGGCAGGAAGTCTTCCTGTGTAACTGGATACCTGGACCTTCTCCCCCTGGAAGGATTTACTGAGTACATACTGAGCAGGGGAAAACCTCCACATGATCTGTTCAAGTTCCCATCTGAAATCCAAGTGACAGTCCGTCCATTACTCCTCTGGGTCCAACGTATATCTATCTGTCCGCTATCCAACGAGTTCCCTCTTCTCTGGATAAACCCACACAGACTGGATTAAATGATTGACAAGAGCCCCCTCAAACATGAGTCCCGTTCCAGCATAATTCAAGCTGCAATCTCATTTCCCACGGTCCCTGAACTGATCTCTGTGATCTCCCCTTCAGACTTTCCAGTTCCGGTTCACCAGTTCTCTGAGTTCCAGATCCAACTTCGGTTCACATTGCTACAAATAAATCTTTTAAACTTTTCTCTGTGTTCTCCGAGTGGTTTCATTGCATGTGGGTCAGATTCCTTAAACCGATCATGACATTTCCATGAAAGCTGTTTGTGCTCAGAAGTCAATATTTCCAAATTCCAACTCACATTTAAACTGAAACGCATGGGCTTAGCTAGATGGAGAGACAGGGGTGGCCATGTCCCCCCTAGGCACTCCTTGGCCCTCCCTGTAGCCACCCTATATGTTGCCTATACTGAAGAGGTCACAGATTAGCGGACCGGGGTCCGGATCTAGACCCACCTGCTGCCTAATCCGGACTCAACCTGGTTTAAAACATTTATGAATTACTGCATGTTGTCCGACAACAGTGTCTAACTTCACTTGCGCCGTTTCTCCAGTTAATATCGTAAAGCCCTCTGGAGTGTCCGGTGTAGGTACCAGATTGACTCGGGCTGCCAGATTGACTCGGGGGCCTGCGCCTTTTGATGACGTCATAATATGGCAACTCCGCCCGTCACTATATGGCAACGCCACTCGTAACGATATGGCAACTCCACTCAAACAAACTACATTGCGCCCGCGGTCTCTATTTTGTTTTGCGTGTCCGCGCAAACCACAGACATTATATGACGTAGACGCGTCATTGGGCTGGATCTGCCTATGCTGAGATGCGTCAGAGCGTCCGCCATCTTAAATGTGGCAAATCTGCAGTTTCTCAGTCACTTAAACAGTATCAGAGGGACTTTAATCTCTGAATATACTTTGTATTCGTAGTATTTTTGTTTTTGTAATATTACAATTTTTTTTTTTGTAATATTACATTTTTTTTTTTTGTATCCCTTTAGCTTCATTCTCCTGAATTTATTCTCGTTACAAATGCAGACCGCGGGCTCAATGTAGTTTGTTTGAGTGGAGTTGCCATATCGTTACGAGTGGCGTTGCCATG